CTTATTAGGCAAACAATTTTTGACTGGTATAAGAAAACCTAATTTTGGTTTAAGCTTTTTCAGTAACTTGTCAATGTGTATATCAAAGGCTAATCTCTCGTCAATCCAAATACCTAGATATTTATAAGAGCTAACTCTTTCTGTTGGTACAACATTCAGGGATGTGATTGTTTGATCTGTTACCTTTGTGCAGCCATGGCTAAAAATCTATTTTTTAGCCATAAAAAAAACTTTTTTTTTTTCTAATTAAAAAAATAAAAAATAAATTAGAAGTTTTGCATCTTTCAAAGATTAAAAAAAAAATTAAGTATAACTTTTTTCCCTTTGTCTATTATAGTGTTTAATTTTTGTCCTAGTTTTAAGTCTGGTTTTGTATTTTTATGTAGTCTACATGCAAAAGGTCTTAAATTTGGCAGTAACAAGTCAAGAGCTGTCTGTGAACTATATGACTTTACAAAATTGGCAAGTTTAAGGTTTGTTTTCTTTAAAAATTTGTGATCTTCACTGCCTGATTGATGTACAATATAAAGTGAGTCTCAAAATGTACAAGAAGCACTGCATTAAATTACATTCTTCCACACTATGTCTTTAAAATATGAACATTTATTTTTATTTTTCATTTATTTTTGTATTTCTGTGCTAGCCTGCAGATCCTGACGGCACGTGCATGTTAAAGACTTTTCATCTCGTTTGACAATTGAGCACTTAAATGAATGCTGAAGTCTATTTACCCGACTATAGTTTATTTACATTACAACATCGATGTGTAATGGAAACTGTATAAAATTGAAAAAAGTCACCGTTCACCGAAAGTTTATCAGTATGGGAAGAAACACTAGCTTCGCATAGACCCCATTCTTGTTCCATAAGTGCAGGTGTCTTATAGAGTGCCTTAATCATGCCGTTTAATTGAGATTATATGAAAATGTCAGTGTTGTTTTTGCTATGTATATTGGACGCACAGCAAGCGATGGATCTGTTGATTAGATGGTTTGAAGTGTGAATTTTTTTGTCACGCTGATCTGATTCCTGCTGCTTGTATTATTACTGTTTATCTCTGTGAAGCAGCATCTCAGTGAATGAACACACACACACACACACACACACACAGGAAGAGCAGTGTGTTTCTGCAGCTGTAGAGCCACTGATGCTCTTCAATAGCACTGAATCACATCGTATCCGTCTGCATCACAAAGGAGCAATTGCGCTGCTCTGTGCCGCCGTAAATGGCTTTAAAACACGGGTTTTAGTGACTTCAACTATGAATATTATAGTGATGATAGTAAAAACAAACACAAAAGCACATTTGGTGTATTTAGATCTTAAACGTTGCAGTCAGTTTTTAGGAGCACTGATCTCAGGTTCACTTTGGGATGCCATATTTACTTATTTTGCATTATATTTTGCACAGGGGTTGCCAGATTTTTCAGCCCGTGACCCCTAAAATAACAACGCCAGTGACTTGTGACTCCCAATATCTTCTGAGCGGGTTATAAATACGCGAACCATCATTTGGATGAGACGTTTCGCCGAGGTTCAGACTTTCTGTGGTTGTTAAAAATCCCAGGATGTCCTTCGAAAAAGAGTAGGGGTTTAACTCTGGCATCCTGGCCAAATTGTCCCACTAGCCTCTGTCCATCATGGCCTCCTAACCATCCACATATCCTAATTGGCTTCATCACTCTCATTTCTCAATATGCATTCTTCAGCGGTCTTGTGTCCTCGTGTTCCCGTGTATCATCAGCTGCCAAAATTCAGTTCCAATACTCAAGACCGCAAGAACAGAGGATGCGTGAAACTTTCCAGATGTGTTCTTGATATCGAGGATGCACTGATGCAGACTTGAGCACCGAACTCGCTCTAGAAATCCCAGAAGTCACTGGAGGTGTGAAGTGCTGCGTTTTATATAGATTTACTATTGAAGTTCAGAGATTTAACTTATTTACCTCAGGAGTTTCCCGAAATAAAAATATGAATCTAAACATCACCATGGACATCTATATTAAGGAATAAACAAATTAAGGGTGTTTGTTTTCTGGAATTTGTATAAAAATCTGTTTTATTTATATTGTGCTATGTATGTTTATAATGTTGTTATGCATAGTTTATATTTTAAAAAAAGGGGGACAAACAGTAAATTGTTGTATGAAGGCAGTAATGTTTAAATAACACCCTTTAAAAAACACGTGAATGTCATGTGACCATCAGGAAGAGCGCAGCATCTCATTTCTCACAGGACGCGTTCTCTGTTCTCGCGGTCTCCCGAGTTTGTTCTTCCTAGAACGCCTGACGAAACCAGTCTCCACAAGAACGCAAGTCCGTTCTCTGCGTTCTTGGAATTGAGAAACAGCCTCTGTCTCCTCTCCACCAATCAGCTGGTGTGCGGTCTGGTGCAATATAGCTGTTGTCACGTCATCCAGGTGGATGCTGCACAATGGTGGTGAATGAGGAGATCACAATATACGGAAACCTGCTACTTTATGGATATTTTTTACAGTGTATTAATTAATGCTTTAGTTTGCCTCGAATTTGAAATGTAGTTTTGTAACGTATCTTTAACGGTAAAATACTGGGAACCACAGAAGTTGGTTTGTTGTTGTGTATTTTAGCAATTTATTTATTTATTTATTTTTTTTCATTTATTTACAATGTCAGTTTCCCTGAACAGCATTTAAAGGTCTATCTTAGTTCAATGTGCAACATCATTTTATCTGGCTTGTCCTCTCCTGAGTGGAAACATCTCAGGATGACTTGAACGCATCATGAAACAACACAACTAATGCAGATACTGTAGGTCATGGGGTAATACAAATGGCATATAAAAACTTAACATTCATACTACTCAAATTTATACCATATAGAATGTATTTTATAAGGTTTTTAAAGTAAATTCAAATGTATTATCGGCAGGGCTTTACATTAACACCTGCCAAATGTGGGTGGATTTCAGCTTTGGCGGGTTAGACAGTAACTCCCACTAGCCACTTTGGCTGTTTGAAAATGGTTAAAAAATTGTGGTTTTCTTAAAAGCAGGGTTCGACTATGAGGATGACGCAGTATGCGTGCAAATGTGATCTTAGAATTGAAAAACAGCACGACTAACAAATTGTGTTCACGCAATGAATACCGAATGAGAGGCTGATCACTCGCGGATCACATCAACAGCTGTTGTGATGCGCGCGACTGTTTAAAGCGGGTGCGCGCTCCTGTTTCCTTGCTTGAAGCAACCGTGCCTGGAACGCAACTGTGATCGGTTCTCTTTCATATAGACCAGACAAAAAAGTAATGCTAATGCACCCAGTCTTGCTGCTTTTAAGAGCTCCAAATGTGTCTTTTTGTAAGCAGCACCGGTTGCTTTCGCTTTGAACAGATTATTAATAGGCCTTAACCGTGTGATTATCCTTTCATTATTACACAGTATGTTTTTCACCTGCTTTCTTTTGCTTACGGTTATTTTTGTTTATATGGTTTAATTATCATCTTTTACAACAATGTTGCTTTAATATGAGATTATTGTATAATCATTTATGTGGAGTTAACTGGTGATCTGAGAGACCTTTAGCAGGGATAGATTACTGTGCATAATTTTTAATATATGACAATAATTATTTTTAAAGGTTTTATTATATTTTTTCTAAAATTAAATGCTAAGAAATAATTATTGTTAGGTGTGGTCAGAAAAAATATGGGAAATCTTTCATTTTTGTAACGCCGGGGGGTGACACACACAACTGGAGGTAAGATCCACAATGCAGGTTTATTCAGCGTCAGGCATGCAATGGTCAAATCAGGTGCAAATGGGTATAAACAGGCAGTCCAGAATCGTAGTCGTATAAACAGGCAATAGGTCAAAAGGCAGGCGGCTAACAAGGATAAGCTAACTAGGTTAAGGTCGGTACACGGAGAAACAAGACAGGGAAAACACGTTGTAGTGTTATCACAGGATCAACAAGACTCTGCAAACTGGATGGGTGAATGAGTGGCTTAAGTAGTGAGTGCAATCAGTCTCTGACAAGGCTCAGGTGGTGAGAATGTAATCAGTCTAGATCAGGGTTTTTCAAAGTCTAAGACAGTGGGCCTCCCTTTTGACACAACTTATCCATTGGCTCCCCCCTCCTCCCAAACACGCAAACACGCACGCACGCACACACACACACACACACACACACACACACACACACACACACACACACACACACACACACAAATATATATATATATATATATATATATATATATATATATATACACAGTATATATAAAGACACAGACAGATGCCAGACTGTTAACTCACTTTTATCATCATTTGCATGAAAGTGCAATTATTTACAGAGTAATAACAAGTATTTTAATATAACGTTTTTAAAACTAGGATGATGGTTCAGTATTATTATTTTTTTTGCTTTGTTTAATTAAAACGTTTAAATATAACAAAAAATACATATAATAATTAAACTTAATAATTATATTTTTATTATATTATATTTTTTCCTGCGCCTCCCCTGACATGCTCTGGCGCCCCCCAGGGGAGGCGCGCCTCACACTTTGAAAACCCCTGGTCTAGATGAGTGAGCATGTGTGAGCGTGACCGGAGAGCATGTATGAATATGTAGTCCAGGAGAAGGCGGAAGTGTAGTCCATGGTTATAGTGTGAGAAATCCAGCGATCTCTGGAGAATGATCGCTGGTTATCGTGACAATTTTAAGTTCTGAAAAGTCATGTGAAATAAAAACTACTTGCAGTATAACACTATGAAGCCATCACCCATTTGCCTACACACGACACAAAACCTGAAAAGAATGAGGAGGCATGTGGACAAAACACAAAATCTAAATCAAGTAATTTTAGCATGTCAAAGTCATATTTATGCATATAAAAATATTTTCTTAACAACTAAATTGTGGCTAGTGAAAATGCAGAGTGGCTAGTTAAGTTGGAAAACTACTAGCCACTGTGACTGGTGATCAAAAAAAGCTAATGTCAAGCCCTGATTATCGGTGATTTCAAACACATTTTTGAAATGTTTATATCTTCTAAGTGCAAATTCGGTCTGTTTTTGAAGCACACAAGTATTTATAACCCTAAGACTAGTGTGTTATATAATTCAGATTTCACAGGGACTTGAACTGTGGTGCTCACATCTGTCATGTCTTATTACTTTGCACTTAAATAAACAGAAGCAAGTTGCTGTGTGGCATGAAATGGTGCAGACTAAAAATGCGATTCAAACTGAATGTTATGTCAGGGTCGCAGGTTAAACTGTGATCGCACCTTAAATCTCTGCTTTTCTCTGTTTGCCAGTCCAGCGCTGCTTTAGTGTGAACCATCGCACCTTTTCTCTTCTGCACTCCCAGCTGTTGTTTACTGCTGAGCTGAAGTCAGTGTACCTGCAAGAGCATCACAGCACTCGTAATAACCCCGCTGCTGTTTTACACATCCTCCGCTATGATCTGACTGTCAAAAGTGCCAAAGTCTGGATCGGCAAGTCAAGGAGAGAAATGGTAACGCAGAAAATACACTCACCTCACAGAAATTGGTTATTCTAATTCAGATTACTGATTTGTACACTGTAAAAAGCGATACGTTGCTTTTGTTTTTTAAAATGTGAGTAATAGGAGCTGAGTTTATTCAAATTAGGTCAACTTAATAGCTTCAAGTTACAATGGGTTTACTTTATTTTTAACTAAAGTCAACACGTTACTTTTAAGGCAATGGGTTTACTCACTTTATGCAACCAATCAATTTTTACAGTGTATGAGACAAAACTTGAGACAAAAGTTTCACAAAACTTTACCAATTGATGTTAGTGAAGGTTTTTTTCCTTCCTTGAGAGAAACCAACTGAGCCTGGTTTCTCTTGAGTTTTTCCCTTAATTTTGTCAATTGGTGAAGTTTGTTCCTTATCACTGTCACTATTAAATTCTAATGTAATATCAGAAATAATTTAGCATCACAAAAATACATTTATTTAATTTTATTCAGCATATTTAATGGTATTTATTTATCATTATATGTATTTACATTTTCAATGCAGATTTATTTTATTAACTGTAAGACACCATTTCCCCCCTGTCTTTAGAAGTTTCCCCATGGTGGAAAACTTGACACTCAGTCTTAACTTTTGCTCTGTGGGTTGAATTTTTTACTATTGTGATTTATTTTTAGTTGTTTGTTTTTAACATTGGTAGATGTTGGATATTTTGCATTGGATAAAAAGGGTTGCTAATTTATGTATTTCATTTTGAGTATCACCTCTGATGTATCAATTGAAGATTAAATTATAATGTAGAAATTTACCATTTATGGATATAGTTGTGTGCCACTGTTTTATTTTATTTTATTTTATTTTATTTTATTTTATTTTATTTTATTTTATTTTATTTTATTTTATTTTGCTTTGCTTTTACTTTTACTTTATTTCATTTTATATTACTTTTATTATTATATTTTATTTTATTTTATTTGTGCCATAATGGCCAGGCCAAATGTAATTTAATGCATTGCTTCTTATACATTCTGAGACCCACTTTATTTCATGTATCAATCAGGCAAGGAAAATAAATGATTTTTAAAGAAAACAGGCTTAAAACACACCAATTTTGTAGGGTAATACAGTTCACCAGAAGCGCTTGACCCAGGCTACTGAAAAATTAAAATTATTTAATATTATTTTAGCACCTTTTATGCATGTTAAAATCAAATAAACAAGTATATTTGTTGTTGGACAAACAGCTAATCTTAGTCCTCCTGTAAAATTTATTTTTCTGTTTTACCCTAACTTGCCTAATTAACATGGTTAAGCAATTAAATTACACTTTAAGCTGAACATTAGCATCCTGAAAATTTTCTAGTCAAATATTATGCACTGTCATCACAATAAAGGAAAAATAAATCAGTTATTAGAAATGAGTTATTAAATCTCTTACATTTAGAAATGTTTTGAAAAAAATCTTTTGTCCATACACAATATAATTATACAGGATAAATATACAGGAGGGCTAATAATTCTGACTTCAGCTGTATTTTGTCTCTCCTTCTGTTGTTATTTAAAAGCACAGCATCCCTTCACTGCATTCACACCTTTCTCGCCGTGTTGGACTCTCCAGCGTTGGCGTCTCTGCTCCTGGGCTCTGAAATGCCCACTGCCGCTGCTCAGGACATCAGTCAATGTTCTCAGGCAGAAGAGGCCCAGAGGTGCCAGAGAGGAAGACAAAAATAGGCCTGCCCATCTATCTGTCTATGACCATCGATCCTCAGTGGCTCAGCCTGGACTTATGAGAGCACTAGAACCATCTGCAAAACAGCAGCAGCAGAACAGAAAGTCCCCGTCTCTCGGTTTGTGTCTTTGTTTTTGCTGGAGTGCCGAGGTGAGAGTGGAGCACATGCTGGGCTGCTCCATCAGAACTGCGCTGATAGTTTTTTGGGGAAACACAGCGAGACGTCTGAGGAAAATGGCAAAAACAACAACACAAAAATAACGTTGGCTTGACGAGACATTGAAAAATATCCCAGCAGATGCTAATTTGTGAGAACAAAATGCACTGTAAAAAATAAAAAGTTGAGTAAACTTAAAATTTTAAAGCAACCGGCTGCAAAGAAATTTTGAGTTTACTCAACTTCAGTGGTTGAAGTTGTGCCAAATTATTTTTTTAAGTTGACTGAAATGGCTGGTTTAAGTCATGACAACTTTCAAGCCTAAGTTCATCTAACTTGTCATTATGAGTTTGCCTAAAATTAAACAGGGGTTGAGTAAACTGTAATAAATGAGTTGGCACAACTTAACAGAAGTTCAGTTAACTCAAAGCTGTGCAGCTGGTTGCCTTAATTTTTTAAGTTGATTTAATCTTTATCTTTTAATTAATAATTTTATGGAAATCTTATATCTGCGCTTGGTCCCACTTTATATTAAGTGGCCTTAACTAATATGTACTTACACAGGAATTAATAGTTTGTTACAATGTACTTATTGTGTAAATACATGTATTTACTGTGTACTTATGCTTGATTAAATACATGTATGTAATTACATCTGTAACTAACTTTTGTAATTACATTTGTAAATACACTGTTGACCATCCCTTACACCTGAACCCACCCTTAAACCTACCCATACCAGCAAACCTGTCCATAACCCAACCTCTATCCCAACTCAAAAGCACCACAAGTGTTCTCAAATACATTATAAACACAGTAAGTACATTATATTTATTTTTTGATGTAAGTACATAGTAGTTAAGGACACTTAATATAAAGTGGGACCCTGCGCTTCTCAAACAAATACCTGTATGACTCTAAGTATGAAGTTAAGAGATTACAAAACACACTATAAAACACAATATCAAAGAATATATTTATTGATAATTCAGCAAACAGCTTTCTGTCCAAATGAAATGTACTGCAGTCCAGAGAAGGAAAAGAGGCAACAAAAAGGTAAATCCTCAAATCCTATATTGCCTTTTAAGTGCTCGAGTTAAGCAAAAGAAATATTTAAAAAGCTCGCACTATCAACATTTTTTTCAAAGTGCAAGAGTAATTAGTTTTGTCACGATATTTTAATTGTTACCCATCAGTTCTATAATTTTAAAAACGTCCATTTCCTGCTAACATTTGAGCGTTGTTGACCATGTTTTAAACACTGTTATATTGCCATTGTGTTCACATGCTCAACAGAAAAGACTGATTGGGCGTGAAGATCATCAGTTCACCAAACTCACTGCTGTTTACTGAGTGTAACCACAGATACAGGGACACTTAAGAATTTCACATTGATCAACTGGTCTGTGTATAAGCTGACACAAGTGTTACGCTGATGGATCGACTACGCGATGTTTTGAAACACTCCAGTTTGTGTGTGTGTGTGTGTGTGTGTGTGTGTGTGTTTGCACTCCATGAACATCAGTGAAGAGCAGTGAAATGGTGAACTTCTCAGCCAATCACAGTCATTTGTGTTGAGCGCTTGAACACAACAGCCAATCAATCAATTGGTGGGAAATGGATGTTTTTAAATTTTGAAAATGTAAAATCAAAACTGAATTTAAGTTTCGTGACAACACCAAGAGTAACACAATTTCAGTGTACAAACAAATGCATTTTGTTTTTGAAAGACTGGACTCTTGCTGAGCACTGAGGATCAAGGCCAATAAACACTTTCTGAATAGTTTCAAAGATGTGTTTCAGTTCTTTGGGGTAGTTCATAATGAGGAAATTAATCAAACCAAAGAGGAGAACAACAGCTGTCGGAAGATCTTTTCCAGCACGATTTGCTCTTCCAGAACCACAGACAGGCACCTTACATTTAGGTTGGTCTGAAGAGTGGCAACATCATCTTCAACAGTGCTAAGGATGTCCATCTCCATCTCTTTTGTGCAAATATCTTCTGGCTCTGTGTCCTGCAGTAAAAAGAAACATAAAAAGAGGATGAAAAACTATTTTTACTGCTAAATCACAAACATCTCCAAAAAGCAAGGTAAAAAAAAAGCAAAGGCAAAGCAACTTAATTTGGAAACGGAAGGTAGTAATGTCAGTAACACAGTCATTTATATACCTTCTATTTATAAAACTTTTCAGGTAACACTTTTATAATAATGAATCATTTATTAAGCATTAGCAAATAGTGAATTGATTATCCGTTTAAGCATCAACTCTACATGAATAAACATTAGTAAGCTCATTAGTACCTAATGAGCAAAGACTAGTATCTAATACATAAGTACTAGTATCTATTAATTAGGTAGTAGCATCTCAGTAATAGGTGCTAGTACCTAATGATTAACTACTAGTAGATAAAAAATATGCACTAGTCACAGCTGGAATACATACTAGTCAAAACTGAATAGTTGATATCTCAATTAGAGATCCCATAGAAATAAATGGGAAAATTTTTAATTCATTACGAGTCACAACAGAAAGAAAGAACTATTAAAATAAGTACTAGTAACTAATAAATAAGAACTAGTATCTATTTAATAAGTACTAGTATCTAATAAATAGGTACTAGTAACTAATAAATAAGTACTAGTAACTAATAAATAAGAACTAGTATCTATTTAATAAGTACTAGTATCTAATAAATAGGTACTAGTATCTAATAAATAAGTACTAGTATCTAATAAATAGGTAGTAGTATCTAATAAATAAGTACTAGTATCTAATAAATAAGTACTAGTATCTATTTAATAAGTACTAGTATCTAATAAATAAGTACTAGTATCTAAAAAATAGGTAGTAGTATCTAATAAATAAGTACTAGTATCTAATAAATAGGTAGTAGTATCTAATAAATAAGTACTAGTATCTAATAAATAAGTACTAGTATCTAATAAATAGGTAGTAGTATCTAATAAATAAGTACTAGTATCTATTTAATAAGTACTAGTATCTAATAAATAAGTACTAGTATCTAATAAATAGGTAGTAGTATCCAATAAATAAGTACTAGTATCTAATAAATAAGTACTAGTATCTAATAAATAGGTAGTAGTATCTAATAAATAAGTACTAGTATCTAATAAATAAGTACTAGTATCTAATAAATAAGTACTAGTAACAAATAAATAAGAACTAGTATCTAATAAATAAGTACTAATACTAGTACGGGCTATAGAATAAAAGTTAAAACGGCTTGCCATAGGTCATCAGCTATTGTCACATTAAACCAGATGCTCAGACCCTGAGAGATGACAGGTGGCACCACTTTACAATTGAAGGGCATTAATTATGGTTATTCACAGGTTAGTCATTTTGATCAGAAATTCCCAACATGTTTTAATTATTAAAAATGAAATTTGCTTTACAATTAATGTTGCAGCACCTGTTTTCCATCCCTGGTCAGCCGGACTCAGTCATGGTTGTTCTACTAAAGACTAAGTGATGAAAATTTAGCATCCTTTACATAGGTGAAAACAGTGCTACAAACTTTTCTATTAGGGAACAAACTGTTTTGTAACTTCAAAGATTAATTACCTGCATGAATTCCAATATTGCACACAAAAAGAGAAACTCCATGGTAAACGCCATAAAGTTTAATATGCCCCCCTTTAATCAGTGATATGATTGAATGCTAAATAATTACTTGATTGTCCAGTTGGTCCAGGGCGGTCCTTATTATCTCTCCATATCGCCCACCACATGATCCATAAAACTTGATAGCGTATTCATCCGAAAAAGAGAAGGTATCTTTGAGGTTGGTTTGAGTAATCCTGTAAAACTCAGCATAGACCTACAAGCAGACCATAAAAAATGAATAGTATGAATTGTGAACAAGGGTTATACATTTTGAAATAAATTATCTCAAATGCAAACTTGCCTAAACTCCCAAAAACATGCAGGCCACTGTTTTCGGACATCAGCTACAGGAGGATAAAAAAATCAAATAGTCAGTAACTGCAGCAGACTGTTAATGTGCTAATGTCAAATGTGATTTTAATGCACCTACAGTCTTTAAAGTGCAGAAGCAGTCTGCGAACAAACAAGGCTGCTGCCAGGATGGTCCTTGATAGCGATGTAGTCTGTAGTGTAACTTCTCAGCTACTGTTCACAAATTTGCAAAACTTACACTGCATTCCAAACCTATAAAAAAGTAAATAAAAATGTAACATTGCAGGTCAAATTGTTTTCATGAATTAAACTGATGTTTTTAAAAAGCACAATATAAAATAAATATTGCAAACATAAAAAGAGAAGATTTAAATAATACATACATACATGTTACTTAACTCATAAATGGTTAATGTATGCCAACTAAATAATCATAAAATAATGTTAATGTTATCGCATTGCTGTTTTAATACAGACACAACAGGGTTAACAATACAGTGGTGACCGGCCGCTCAGATATGTCTGTTTGCAACAACAATATTTCACTACATTTCCCTCCAGTTTAAGAAGCAAATTAACGTTAAACAGTCCTTTAAATAAAGCTAACTTCACAGGTGGCTAGCTTGTTAGCCCGAGCTTGTCAGAAATGATCTTCACACGATGTAACTTAGTTTTTTGGGAACATAACATTACATTTTACTTTAGATTTGCACGCTATTTAGATTAATTTTGATAATAAAGCTAAAACAAAGCTTACCTGAATCAGGAGATGGCAGCTGCTGCTGGTGAGAGGACACTTCGTGCAAAATGGCACCCGAAGACAGACTGAGCATGTGCAAAGACGGGAAGTAGATGATCCAGTGAAGAACTCAAAATGTAAAGTCTGCTCAACTTAAGTATTTACTTTCATTGAACAAAACAGTTTTAAACATTCAGTTAACTCATTTTTAAAAGTAAACTCAACACTGAGCTCAAAATATGTCCACCCAACTTACAATTTTGATTTGAGTTAGCAATTTGCAAGTTGGATTTTTTACAGTGTGGAAATCATGCTAGAAATGCAAACAAAACAGTAACATGATAGAAATCCATCAACAACCTGTTATTCTGTACCAGAAACATGGCTACAATCTGTTAATTCATACTAACAATGATGCTAGAAAGGATCCCTGCTGAAAAATCCAGCTTAAACCAGCCTAGGCTGGTTGGCTGGTTTTAGCTGGTCGACCATCCTGGTTTTAGAGGGGTTTTGGCCACTTCCTGGCTATTTTCCAGCCATTTCCAGCCTAATATTAGCAGGTCAGGCTGGGAGATGACCAGCTTAAAACCAGCTTAACCAGCCTAGCCAAGCTGGGAGTCCAGCCAAAACCAGCTATATAAACCAGGCTGGTCAGGCTTGGTTGGCTGGTTTTAGCTGGATTTTTCAGCAGGGATAGCAGCATGTTAACAAGAATGCTAGAAATGTTAGCAGCATGCTAATTCATCCTAATTCATAACAATGTTAACCGTGATAAAAGCATGTTGACAACTACGTTAACTACATGTAAATCATGTTTTCAAGCTGGTGATTACGTGCTAACTATGCTAACTATGGTAACTTAATCAAGCTAATAGTATGCTCTCCATTATTTACACAGGCTAACAGCATGTGACAACCATGACAGGAACATAATAGTCATATCACCCTGCAGCTCAAGACCGGGTCTTCACTGAAGCTAAGAAGGGCTGAGCCTGGTCTGTACCTGGATGGGAGACCACATGGGAAAACTAGGCTGCTGTTGAAAGTGATAGGGATGTCAGCAGGGGGCGCTCAACCTGCGATCTGTGTGAGTCCTAATGCCCCAAAAAAATGATGCACCGTCTTTCGGATGAGACGTTAAACCGAGGTCCTGACTCTCTGTGGTCATTAAAAATCCCATGGCACTTCTCGTAAAGAGTAGGGGTGTAACCCCGGTGTCCTGGCCAAATTCCCTCCATCAGCCCTTACCCATCATGGCCTCCCAATCATCCTCATCCACTAAGTTGGCTGTGTCACAGTCTCTCAACTCCATCTACCCTGTATAGCTGGTTTGGACATGCGTAAAACAGGTAAGAAAGCCGGTAACATGTTATTCCATACCAGAAACATGGTAGCAAATAGTTAATTCATGCTAACAATATACAAACAATGCTATAAATGTTAGCCACATGCTAATTTGTACCAAAGTTAAGTTAACTAGATGCATGTTAACAACGTTCACCATGTGTAATACATAGCAAGCTACTATAAGCACATACAATATGCATATTATACCATATCATGCATAAAATATCTATATTTATACCATAATATCATATTATTAAGAGGATAATTCACAATAACAGCATGTTAATTACAGTAGAAACAGTAACATTATTATTCTTTTTATTATCTGTATTAGTAGTGGTATTACAGTAGTAGTGTTTGTCATAATATGTTAGCAACATGCTAATTTTTGTTAGAAATGTGTTGATTCCTGGTAGAAACATGGTGGCAACATGGGAATTAGTGATAATGCTTAAAATGTGAGCAACACACAACTCATTGCTAGAAGCATGTTAGTAATACAGTAAATTATTTAAACAATATGCTAACCAGGTAATGCTAATTTTCAGAAACAATATGCTAACTATAGTAATCATGCTAACAGCATGCTCTCCATTGTAACAGCAGATTAGTAACGTGGCCATCATGGCAGAAACAATGCTAATCCATGATAACAACAGGCTACCTATAAACATCTTATCAACACGTTATTTCACACTGGTGACACACAAACCATGTTGGAGAGGTTAATTTATGCTAGTTTCATGCTAATCATTAGAAACATTTAGAAATCTGAGTCAAGCCAGCTGTCACAAAGCTTTCTTCATCTAGCTTGTATGTATAATTCATCAGCAAGCGGTCGGTTCTTCCAAATTCAGGGCTTTTTGCGTGTTTCCCAGTGGAGGAGAACTCAAGTTGACTCTATGTTTTCTACACAAGATAACGCTGGGAGAAGTTGGTGGTGTTTTTGCATGGATAAAGTCGGCTGTTTGCCAATCTCTGCTTTGACTGGAGTCTCCTTGTGGCAGGACAGGAGGGTCACGTTGCTCCTCCTGGGAGAGCTGTCTCTTGCATCTCATGAAAGAGCTTTGAATGCTCTTAAACCAACAGAAAAGGTAAAGTTTGTCAGCGCCGGCCTGCGCATATGAGATAGAGAGAGACAGATACAGAGGCAATTTGTCTTCTGTTCTCCGCCATGAAAATTTTGACAGTTCCAAATTATTCTCAAAGCAGGACAGCAGCTTTAGCTGCGTTTTTTTTTTTTTTAATTGCACACTTTCCTAAAGACAATGTGAAAGCGCATTCACAACATGTTTAGTGTCCATAATGAGCTGTGTTTATATGGAAGCCTTTTTACTAGCTTAGGATAAGGCAATTCTGAATTTTCCAATGCTGAGTTTTTATCTTGCAAATCCTTCTTTTCTCCCTTCAGAATTGCAAAGTGACACAAATAAAATCCCCGGCCAGTTAACTTCTTTGGACAGCCACAAACACCCAGAAACAGCCCACAGCAACATAATGGTGAGTCTTACTGTACAGTACACTGTCCTCTAATGTAAAGGACAATGGTTGCAGTATTTTAGAATGTTTTTTTTATTTATTTATTAAACTAACATTTCAGTATGGATTACACCACCAAAAATGGTTTATTTAAAATATTTATCTATATAATATTTTATTATATTTCTATTAATAAAAAATAATAACAACAACAACAACAACAATAATAATTATTATTATAATAATGAAATACTAAAATAATAATAATAATTATAAAATACTAAAATAATAATAATAATAAAACAATAAATTTATGATAATAATAATAATAATAATAATAATAACAAAATAATAATCACAATTCTAAAATAATAATAATAATAATAATAATAATAATAACAATACTAAATTAATGATAATAATAAAACTATATAATAATAATAATATTAATAATAATAATAATAATAATAATAATAATAATAAAACATTATAATATTTAAATAATAATAACAATAATTATCATTATTATTATTATATAATTGTATGATGATTATTATTATTATTATTATTATTATTATTATTTAACTTTATTAGAATATTATAGGGTTACATTTTCCCTCCACCACTTTTTATTTTTATTTTATAATGATGTTCAGTGATAAATTATACATGCTACACTATCTATTAAGTCAATTGCATCAGTTTTGATTTCCTTGTTTTGATATGTGCTTGCTAGCACAACAATAACAACAACAATGCTGCATATCAAATATGAATGAACATGACCTGCTTTTTTAACATAGAATCAAAATCCAGGCCTTGCTTATGAATATGGCAATATTGAACGCTGTCTTCATAAGTCAGAGTCAGTCCTGGATATCCAATATCATGCAGAGATATGAAAAAGTAGCAGGTCTGTTTGGGAATCTCAGTGGTGTGTGTTAGGGCTGCACAAGATATAGTTTCAGCATCGATACAACAATGTGTTTAACTGCAATAGTTACCTCACAAGTTATGCAGTGTTGAGTCTGAATTATAGTTGACCAGAAGCTACAGAAAACGTGGCTTGTAGAGTCACTGCCATGCTTAACCATAATATTTAAGTCAACTCTTGTTTATTTCTATAGCGCTTTTACAATGTAGATTGTGTCAAAGGAGCTAAACAAAGAAGTTGTAGTAAATTGAAACGGTGTCAGTCCAATTTTCAGATTTGGAAGTTCAGTTCAGTTCAATGTGGTTTAAATTTCACTGCTGAAAATTTAAACACTGAAGAGCTAATCTACCAATGCGCAGCTCCACAAGTCCCAAACCAAGTAAGCCAAGGACGACAATGGCGAGAAAAAAAACTTTACCATTTGACAAAGTGAAGGATAAAAAAACCCTTGAGGGAAACCAGCCCCTATAATGTTGGGCATGTCCATTTGTCCTTTGTCTATTGTCCTAAGTGGAGCTGCAGTCTTTAAATGAGAATTTAAGCGATCTGTAAGGATATAGTGGTCAATGGTGTCTAATGCAGCACTGAGATCAAGTAAAACTAGTAACGAGATGCACCCTTGGTCAGCAGCTAATGGTGAGTTCAGACCGCATGATTTTCAAAGTAGTTGAGTCACAGATGTTTTAACACTGCATGTCTATCGGGGCTAGCATTTTGTCGCTGCTTTGTTTACACTGCAAGATAAATCGGCGACAGGGGGCTTCACACTGCATGAATTTATTATAGTAAGAATCGCCGACAACTACGTCTTTGTTACTTCTTATTACGTCTTATTAACTACATAATGAGAAAGAAGTGATTGTTATTCACGTGAACGAGTCAAGATTTATTTGTGATTTCAGGCTTTTGTCAGCGATTTCTTAAAACCTGTTTGCGAGTCCAAATCGGGGCTAAAATCATGCAGTCTGAACTCGACATAAGAGTAAATCGTTGGTTATTTTCACTAATGTGGTTTCTGTACTGTGATGAAGCCTGAGAGGATAATAGAGTGAAGTTTTATAATTTGCGTGTGTTTTAAAGGCCTGTGAATGAGCATTTCAAGAGTTCAGACACACAAAAATGATGGTGTTTGGAGGTTTTACAAAGATTTATTATATTTATTTATTTATACATAATTTTTGTCTTGTTTCCAGTCCAAATATCTACATTTCAAATAAAAAACAAGATTATTTTACCATCATTTAGCTTCTTTTAAGGAAAAACTCACTTAGGCTGCGTCCGAAACCGCCTACTACTCAG